GTTTTTCTCTATGCCCTGATTATGTACAGTTTTCGCTCTCTGTAACACGGGTATTCTCTGTAATTTTCTGAAAATTACTTAATTAGCCAAACAAGTGTGGGCTGCGGTTTACTGAACTATCCAAAATGTGTAAATTTTGCCTGGTCATCATTTTAGTCTAGATTTGGTCGACCCTTACTTCTTGTGAAGTAGCCTCCAGTGAAGCTAGTTTGAGGGCATAAAGATAAAAACTCCAAATCTTAACACAAAAGAAGTGCACTCAACAGAAGCGAGAAATCTGTGATTGCAAAGTACAAGCACTATGGGCGGGATTGCGGGACTATAAGTAATCCAGCACGAAGGTAAAATTCACTATTTGCTTCTTCAGATTTTGTCTCCTAATTCAAGGTGGCTATCAGGACCTATCTAAAGCACGAGTTCACCACCTCCCATTTTCCCTTGTTTTGTAAAATGGCGCCTAATCTACTGACTTAAAGGCAGGCACAAGTTTTCTCCGAAAGTGCTATATCAGTGTGTACGATACTGCACATTATAAAATGATGTTTCAGCCGTCTATATCCCACGAAATAGGTTCAGCACCGTTGACTTGTAAACAGATTAGTTAATATTGAGGCTACTGCTAATGTTCACGTTCCCAAGAGTGGCAGACTCCAAGAAAAAGGGGCGCTCACCGATCGTTTACAGAACTCACTCCTTCCCTTGTGCTATGGAGCTTACCCTCGAGCCCTGCCAGCAGTAGTTCAACGACTAGCGTGTATTTGAGGCAGAAATGTACTACTGACAAAGACAAAGGAGACGGAAATGAACATTTCTGGGTTGTTAGCCTTCATTAGAGAGTCATAACCGGTCCGAAGGTTATTGACCCCGAGGCCCGAACCCAATACTTTGTAAGCTTGAAGTGAAATGCTCTAACTACTGCGCCACGGGCTCGTTACTTTGCCGGCTTCGATCAGGAATATATGATTTGGTAGACAGGCACTTATCGATCGGTTACCGAACTCACTCGTTCGGTTGTGCCTTGGCGTTAGCTCTCCTCAGAAAATCATCCGTGCGTTCCGCACTGGCTGTGCTCCCGTAGGAACTGATTGGCCTATGTATGTAAGAAATTGCTCGAATCTTTTAAAACTTTGTTCTTGAAGCCCATTAGACAGAATATTAGCAGACAGTTTGTCTGTAATAATGACCGGCAGGTTTTTCATGTATTAGTTTATGGTCCAACATGTTCCTTTTCTCTGGCGTGTTCGTGTTGGGAACAACATTCGAGTAAGTACACGCTTTGTGTGAATTCTAAATACCAGAGATAACGTAGTGTAGCATCTATTTCACTATCTATAGGAACACTCATAGTTTAAGTGTGTCCTCGAACATTAAAATTTTTTGTGAGAAGGCGTAGTACAGCGCGAAACACTAGAAGACCTCGGTTGGTTTAAATGAAACATTTCAGCCAACAGTATTAAGCACAGGCTACTGATTGGACTGGTAAACAGCCAATGAGCAGTCAATATAAATTTACGACACGAAGGAACCATGATTAGCGGCAGAGCTCTCTGGATCGGCCTACTTCCACATGATCGGTATCACAAACTATCCATTTTGCCACAAACGCCAGATGTGTAGGTGTAGTAACCTGAGACTGGCTAATATTTCCCTCTGTTTTCTTCTTTAGGTCCTCTGGGACTTTATTTTCCTACCAGGTCAAGGTCCGCAAGCACGTGGTATCACAACTGAGGACTTCTCGAAGCCGGAGCTGTACGCAAATATGAAACATTTTGATCTGAACTCGGCCCTCACGTATCCGGCGCCTCCTCCTGCGGATGACGCATCAGCAACTGGCAAAGCCAAGACTACTTAGTTCACTTAATCGCCTCCAGTAGCCGTTCCCTCCCTCCTACCCTCTCCGACCTTGACGGTGACCGAGGTCACGCCCCGTGGCCAGTCCTACGGCGTTTTCGTCACGCATTTGAAAGGTCACCCTTTTACCTTTACACCCATCATTTCAGTGCGGAGGCAAGGCTTTAAATAAAAATGCACAAAACACTTGTAGCAAAAGCACATTTTTGATGAAGGGAGAGGACACGACAATGAATAAAAACAGTACTGAGCACATGCACACAACAGTATTATACCACGTACACACCTTTGAGTTAGAAATTGCTTATATTCCCCCGTCCGCTTGTATTATTCAGACAGTTTCGGCAAAACATCCTCCATGAATCTTGAATAAAACTATGCAGACAACTCACATAACTACTGAAGTTTAGGAACAATATAATACGGGCGAAAACTTCAGCTTTCAAAATCCTGGAGAATCGTTCGTCGCAAAATGCAGGCCAAATTAGATTTCCTTCGAAGCGGTGCTAGAATCGTGCGCTAATAACCACAGTATTCTAGTTCTACACATACCACCTATTCCCAGGCGTATGGTCAGCCGACTCAGAGGCAATCATTTGCCGCAGACGGTCAAGTTTGGTTAAGATTTTTACAGTTACGGTACAGCTCATTGAACATTGACTGAAATGCCGAAATTTATGACTGTTACGGCGTGGCCTATGGTTAAAAAAAGGACGGCAAAATCACGCGCCGTCAAGGTGTCTACGGCATGTTAATTTCCACAGTCAGTTACAGTGCGCCGTAGCATCGAGCATGCGTGAGGCTCATGTGTGATGAGAATAAAATTATCAGTATTTTCCCGCAAAGACATTTTGCGCACAAAACGGCAAATCAATCATCGCCACACCACAGGGCGAAAGGTTCTGGGACGCCTGTCACTATTTGCTGGCCCGAAGAAGCCAAATAGATATAGCGAGTTAGGATAATGGAATGGTTCATGTTCGCCGAATATTATTGAAGTTTAAATAAACAGAGGGATAATGTTGGGGTGTACTGGGCAAAATAGACCAACTGGCGTAGATATAAGAACATATATGTGCGAATTGAAAGTAAAAAAATGGAGGCTCAATTTTGAAGCTCCCATAGGATCTGTGAACTGCCCGCAATCCAGATGGCTTTGCAGCACATTTCAGGGAAAATAGGCCAAGGATTACTTATATGGTTTAGTAAACAGGACCTTGGAACATAAATGACCCTGCGCATAATTCCAGGAAGGGTTAATATTATTGTGCCCTAAACTTATCATTGGCCCTAAAATAAATGTTACCTATAGCCTTAACCTTGATTTACTTTATATTAAAGTTTAAACTTATTCATAAGACTATCCTTTTTTTTCCGGAAATGTGGCCCAAAGAAACCAGTGCTGCTGTTTCCTGTTCCCGTGTTCTGTTTGGGTGACCCTATAGATCATATTTAGCGGAATTGGAGTTAAGATTAAGGTAATTATCATGACCCGTTCCTGGTAGTTGGAAGTAGTGGGAATCGTGGACTTGTCTAGCCCTTGTTCCCAAAGCCAATACAGAAAAGGAAGAGAAGGCAAGCGATCACGAGGAGATATTAAGTAGTAAGTAGGAAGTAATT